GCGCTGATTTAAATCTGTGACATGCAGAGAACATGCGTATTAGGTTGAATGGCGTTCTTGTTGCATATATAATTTATGTGTCCCACATCCATCATCTCATTGTTGGTTATATATATATATATATATATATATATATATATATATATATATATATATATATATATATATATATATATATATATATATATATATATATATATATATATATATATATATATATATATATATATATATATATATATATATATAGTATGGGGTACTTGAGGTCGTATATCAGCAGATACAGGAGGGGGAGGCACGTGTGGTATTGTTTGAACAGGGGCTTTGTGACCGGGGTTGTAGACTATAGTCAGAACAATAGTATAAATAGTCATCACCATAGTCTTAATGGTCATGAGTATCGCCTTACACCATCGGCAACCGAAGGATAAATGCACAAGCGAATATTTTTTAACAATTGGGTAGACTCAACTTAAAAAGTAATTGATGTGCTTATTATAAAATTTATTACTCACGGCTCCTTTAAGAGCTGGCGAATTCGTTAAAAGAACTAAAGAGAATTTCATTGCGTGTTGACAATGAATTTACCAAGAGTGGGATTGGAACCCATGAAGTGCTACATGGCTGCAAGACAATACATGTGTACCGTACCGGGGTCGAACCGGTGACCTAAGTAATACTGATTTGGTAAAACTACAGTCCTTTGCTCTTCCAACTAAGCTAACGGTAGATTTTAAAAATTAACTTCTATTTCACGCTTTCATACAGGAAAACTATCAGTTTTATAACAAATTTGGGAGGAACTAATTAATAATTTACATTTTGCGATGATGTAAATCAATAGCATGACAAGGGAGCGTGTGTGACATAAAGTTTAGTTGGTCCAAGCACGCCTTGAGTTACGTCATTTAGTTCTGTGACAGGTAACGTAACCATGTAACGTACCCTATGGTGGCGTACGGTGAGGAGACTGAGTTCTGTGACAGTTAACGTAACCATGTAAAGTAACCCGATGGGACCACGACTTGGTAGCGCGACGCTCTTGTACGTGACGTCATTGCAATCCTTTGTGATGGAGGGATATTAATTTACTTCCCCGGCCACACTCCGCCACAAAACACCACCTACATTACTACTAACTACTTTGGGGCATATTCCCAGTCAGCTGAAATATCTCCAGCCTTTCCTAGAAACAACTAAATCTCCCATTGCCTATATGTATAATAGAATCGTTGTCTTGGCAAAAGAGCTAGAACATCAGAAGTCAAGAAATCCTGAAATGATTTGAATTTCAATAATTTGAAAGGAGTTGCAGCATTTATTATGGGATTTTAATTTAGTTCGTTTAGAACAGATATTACACGGAATTTGTTCAATGACGAATTGCATACGTACCTACAATATCCAATCCAGGTAGAATCCATTAGGCGTAATTTTGCTTCAGATACCAAGAGATTGTTCTCGTTCAGATTGGATATTATTGCCAAGTCCCCACCAATGTTTTGGCATGAAACACGCGCGTCTTTCCATGTAGCTTTTCCATTTGAGAAAAACTTGTAGCATTTATTACCGATATTTTCCCAATCCAACGGACATACATCTAGAAGACGCGAAAAATAAAAGTAATAAAAAAATCATGCTCATAGAGATACGTACATGTGGCAATATAACGTTCTTAGTTCTTAAACAATGTAAAAGCTAAGTGCATTTTTGGTAAATTCGGCTAATAAATTAATTTGTTTTGCTCTGCGAAATTATATATAGTTGGTTTTCACAAATACAAAGGACATCGGCAACGCGCTGAGCGCCGTTTCGCGCGTGTTATCGGGGCGAGGGTACTAATTCCGCCAGGCTATTTACACAGGCAAAGGATGCTTTTGCGAAGTCTCAAGTTCGTCAATAATCGCGGGCGCGTGGTAATAGTAGAATATTGGTAATATTATTTTGAATATTTGTTAATTATACAACAATAAATTTTCGAAATATACAGTCTATGTATGTTTTTTTTGTATTTTATGAGCTTTGATTTAATGTAAAATTTAACCTGAATCGCTTCGTACAATGTTTTGAAATGTTCAATGAGCTATTCAAACTGCTTTTGCCTTTTAATTGTTTTTTTACTGAAATTGTTGAGTAATATCAGCTCGGGATGAAATTTACTTTTATCTCCTTCGTATTTTATGTTTTTTTCTTCAGTCTACTTCAGCTTACACTCAGCCTTCATTGCAAAGGAAGTCAGTTCATGTTTCAGGCAAAAATTAAAGCAACAAAAGTACAAAATTCGTAAGCATTATTCATCAAACATCCAAAGCAATTGGTTAGTATGATTTACTAGCATATTAGCAACAATTGATGAACTTGAGTATATAGACTGAATGTATCAAACACAATGCTTTTTGGCGAGCTATAGTTAATGCGATTTTAACGTTTTAATTTACGGTATTTAAGAGAAAGTTGACAATTTTAACCCGTAATTCAAAGCCATTTTAATTGGGAGATTTTACTTAATTTAAGGAGATTTAAGAGGAGTAACTCGCCGCGATCCGAGTTTGGATCACAGAGTAGGCCTTACAGGCTGCAACACAAGTTGACACAATAGGGAGTTTACGCATGTAAGATGATTGTACGGAAATATTGTCTTGTATTTACTTTCGTATGAATTTAACACAGTTTAAAACAAGTAAAACAGGGCTTTATAACCTTCAGAGCAATTTTGATCAATTATGCTAGAAAAATTTACTGCCACGGCTTGAAATGCTAGCGTACTTTACAAGACGTGAAAATATGCATTTCGCCATCGTCAACAGAGTGTGGACGACGTCTAAAACTCCAGATATACTTTTAATTATTCATTTCCTTTGTGCTATACGATTAATGATATTGTATTGATAGCCGTCGTCCTGGCGTTTCCGTCTTACAGTACATGCGTAAACTCCCTATTATTTTCATGTCGACAAACTTGACGAAGAACAAGCCAAGAAATAGTTATGATCGAACTAATCAATCAAATAAATATTTGGCATAGGTTTGAAGGTCCGTAGTCCAAATAATTGATAGTCTTGATAATTGATTCAAACCTAATGTAAATTTTGATCAGTTCTAAATTTGGTTACCATTAATTTAAATATGGTTTTCTCGTGTCTTCGTTATTTACTTTTTAAAAGTCCAAATGTCTTACGTTCACGCTTTTCGAGGTTGTTAATTGCGATATTCAGGGATGCTGAACATACCTGAATTGTTAATGTGATTGTTTCCTGTTTCTTCTTCATCCTTTGTCTATATGAAAATTAGTTACAGAAATACTGTATAAGAGAGAAATTTAGTTAGTAAGTTAAATGGATAATCATTTTGCATTTTCACGATATGCCAAGGACAAATGAAAACGAACATACATCATGCATGATATTGCACTTGTTATGCAGTGGTAAGGAATGGTTAATGGATTTATGCGCCGTTCTAGATTAAGCACCGAAAATGAAAAATAATTTTAAAAACGTAACCGCGGCGCATATCCACAACAATTAATGAACATTTAACTGAAATATATAGTCTAGTAGAATTGCTAGAGAGCAACGACAATATGCAGTGCATCTCGTATTTTAATCTGTTTTAGTTTACTTAATCCTGGAGTATCACGGGCTTTAGGACAAATTCAATTCGACAACAATAGTATTCTATCCAAATAGCAGTTAAAATAAAGTGTATGGCACCTGAACTGTTCAATATCTTGCTTCTGTTTCCATAAAACATTTACATATATGCAAATACTGTATGTTTTCAAAATCCGCCATATTTATTTACATTAGAACCCAAGCTTTCGCGGTTCACACGAAATATTAACGTGGTGATTTTCACTAATAATAAGAGGGTAGGATTAAAGTGGGCGTTGTCACTCGCTAACCCAATCAGCTGTCTGTGTTCTGTACCACGTGACCTGTTCAAATCGTTCCGAGCGGGAGGAATCTTATGACATCATAACGACTTCGATAAAATATTTTGGGGACACGTTTGTGCCATATAAGAAAGTTGGGTCACGTTTGTGCCATATATGGAAGCATGGTTTCCTCGCGCTTCGAACGATTGAACAATTGGATGACCTACCCTCTTATTATTAGCGAAAATCACAGAAGTTAATATTTCGTGTGAACCGCGAAAGCTTGGGTTCTAATGTAAATAAATATGACGGATTTTGAAAATATACAGTATTTGCATATATGTAAATGTTTTATGGATACAGAAACAAGATATTGAACAGTTCACTTTATTTTAACTGCTATTTAGATAGAATACTATTGTTGGATTGAATTTGTCCTAAAGCCCGTGGGAGTATACAAAGATTTGAAGTTTAAAGTTCGAACATTTTAATTTATCCAATCCTCTAGAATTGTGCAGAAGCATAATAATACGGTTTAGTGTATGCCGCATTCAAATATACCACGAAGCGTTCACAACCTTCAGGGAATGTACTTTTTTGCCAGAAATCATCGAATGCACCGCATAATATGATTTATTTAATATGATATTTTAAATTATTTCTTGTATTGGATGTATATTGTTACGAACCACTTTAACATAGCCTAATGCATGAAACTGAATTTTAGATTCAATTTAATAAAAGGTGATGTTTGCCTCTCAAGCTTCAGTATTAGATATTGAAGTTTCAGAATGCTCAACTCCAGTTGGTGAATGCAAAGTGTGCAAAGAATGTGAAAGTGGAAACTCAAGAACTTGATAAAACATGACAACACGACAAATCATAACAAAAAAAGAGAGGAAGGTGAACATTGTTATATTAACGACGTTATGCGAAATGCGAGTTGTCCGTTATTGCTCTTTGTGCGTATTAGGCAAAAGAGGTCGCAATTTGTTGTTGTTAAAGCAATCACATATTTACTCGCCGGTTGGGCAAACATTCTGTATTTTACATCGAGAAAACGTTTTATATCTCCTTAACTCTTCAGGATTCGACACATGTCAATAAGAGTGAAATTCTCCTTGTATTCAAGCGCTTTTATGTTGAAATTTTCGTTTAAATACGGCGAGTAGATATGTTTATTTTGAATTTTTCAAAATATTGGGTTTTTACTCGCACACGCGAGCCACACGCTAGAATTGGCCAACAAGGAGTATGCGTATCTCGACGCACGTGCAAGTCACGCTACATATCTAATTTGACTTTTAGAATCGATTTACGACGTTTCCGGATCGGTAGGAAGTAAACACGCAATGTTTTGGCAAATCTAAGATGTATTTCCGATCAAAAATATCCCGCTTACTTCACTAATATCTCAGCAGATTGAAATACCGAAATAAATATGAAAAATAGATACGCACTGCGAACATGTGGCTAGCCTTTGTGATATAAATAGGTGGTTGCCATGAAAAAATAGGCGGAACATTTACGGCATTAGTGGATTAGTGTTTATAGGATTATAGTTTTCTCTTTAATTGACTAATATAATCTATTTGAGGACGTTTGTCAATCTATTCAGTTGGAGACTGTGTTGCAATGTGCTGGTAATTCATGTGTTGAGATGAAGAATGCTCATGACTCAAATAGTTCGTATATTATTATATTATATAAATAGTCCATGGTTGTTGGGTAGTGTTCGAGATCTCGACCAGACAATTTATCTTGATAATAAAAATATTATACTAATGCTTGAAAAATAGCTGCTTAAATATCTTTCTGAGCACTGCCGTCAAAAGTTCAATAATGAAGTATTATTT